AAATGGGGGAGAGATTGGCATCTTTAAATAGAAGAACCACCCTTCCTTTTTCTTAGGGAGGGAAGGGGGAGAGGCTGCTTGTGGATTGGGGGAAGTTTGTGAGGTGCTGAGGGAAAGTTGGGGGGGTTCCCTTACTATGGTTTCTGTTCTCTCTTGGAGGTAGAAGGTGCGTCATCTCCTGTGAGTGGGGTTGGCTGTGGGTAGGGGATTTAAGGGGGGGAAAGTTTGTGCTCACTTCGGCAGCCATCCGCTAACATCGGACGATACAGAGATTAGCCTGATCCCTGGGCAAGGATGACACGCAAATTCATGAATGACGTTCCATGTTTAAAAAAAGAAAAGAAAAGTAGTGGGAAGGTTAAAAATTTTCCACGTGGGGCTTGGGGGATAGTCAGCTGGGAAACGGAAGCGTAGGTGGACCGTGTGGAGGGGCCAGGCAAGCTTTCCCTCGTGGACCCCGTGGTGTCACGGATTCCCACCCTCATATAGTCACTCGGCAAACATGCCATTGGCCCACCATAGTGGACCCGGAAACCTGTCGGGCAGGACATACCAGAAGTCATCTTGGGCTTTGTAGTTTCTAATGGCTAATGCTAATGGCTCGGCCAAACAATCAAGTCCTGTCCTTCCCTTCTTTAGGAGCCCTCAAAGTTGGCCATACCTCTCCACCCGCCTACCTGGCCTCCTGGGGCTCGTTGGTGCCCACCACTGAGGAAGCCTTGGGCGCAGTGGGGAGAGAATCTGCACCCAGCTGCCCACCCAGAAGCATTGTCCTACCTTGTGTTCTTGTCGAGGGGCCCCACGCTAGATTCCCCCCTTTTTTTATTTTTAAAATTTCAAAATTTTAAAATTTTTTTGAAGATTTTATTTGTTTGAGAGAAATAGAGAGAGTGAGCACAAGCAGGGTGGGGTGCAGAGGCAGAGGGAGAGGCAGACTTCTCCCCAGGGAGAAGCCCATGCGGGGCTTAATCCCAGGACCCTGGGATCGTGACCTGAGCCGAAGCTAGACCCTTACCCAACTGGCCCCCCAGGCACCCCATAGTTTCCCCTGTTTTAAATGAACGCTTTTGGTGTTAGAATAGTTAGACTCACAGAAGAGCTGCGGAAAGGGTACAGAGAGTCATATGCTTGCACCCGGTGTCCCTGTCGTTGGGATCTTATAGTAGCGAGGTACGTTTGGCACAATGGTGAACCAGGATTGATGCTCTGTTATCATTCACGCAAGCCCATTCTTCACCCAGACTTCCTCATCTTTCCGGTAATGCCCTTCTTCTGTTCCAGGATCCCGTGGGGGAGCCTGTATTACATTTAGCTGTCACGTCAGGCTCCTCTTGGCTGTGACGGTTTCTCACACTTTCCTTGTTTTTATGACCTTGACATTGTGGGGAGTACTGGTCAAGGAGTTGGTGGAATGTCATTTAGTTTGGGTGTGCCTTGTGTCTGCTCATGATTAGACTAGAGTTACAAGTCAGGAGAGCGGGGAGGACTGCAGGGAAAAGTGACATTCTCATCACATCTTACGAAGGGTACCATTTAAAAAACAAAACAAAAAACGCAGTGACACTTGCTAAAGATGGAAAGGCAGACTTCGGGACCACTGGGATAGGCCGGGGGACCACGCAGCGGGATTTTGCAGTTTGGGAGAGATGTTGGCTTAACTCCGAATACGGCTCGGGCAAGTGGGACTGTATAGTCAAGGAGCAAGGTGGGGGTCAGCGGGTGGAAAATGACTCGGGGGTAAGGGAAGTTGTGGCTACACTGAGCTAATGGGGCTCTTGCTGAAGGCAGGCCAGGGTGGTCGGTCAGCCCCCCCTGGGGGTGTGGAGGATGAGGACCCTGACCAGACCTGGAGGGTGTGGCTCTGGCCGAACTGAGCAGAGATCTTGCTAAAGCTGGATTTTCCTGGAAGTTCACAGCTGGGCCTGGAAGATTCAGGAGGCTGGCCGAGGTCTTTGTAGGTAGAGCCGTGGACATGACTCATCACCGCTGGTGTTCACTGGGTCACCTGGTTGAGGTCGGGTTTGTCGGGTGTCTCCACTGTCTCCCCACCCCCACCCCCACCTCCCCGCTCACTGTAGTGGATCTTTGGAAGGAAGCCACAAGGCGCAGCCCACTAGTTACGGAGTGGGTTGTTGCATTCCAGCTCCTTGACAGTGTGCTATCTCCATGAATGATGTGGGATTTTTCTGCGAGGCACTTGCCACATGCCCCGTCCCCTGTAAGTTTCACTGCGGTGATGCTGATATTACCTCCCAGTTCCAGAAGCGGAAACAGAGACTTAGTGAAGTTGACTTGCCTTCCCAGGGCTACCCAGATTTTTTTTTTTTAAAGATTTTATTTATTTATTTGAGAGCGCACAAGTGAATGAGAGAGAGCACAAGCAGGGGGAGGGGCGGAGGGAGAGGGAGGAGCAGGGAGCCCGATGCGGAACTTGATCCCAGGACTCTGGGATCATGACCTGAGCGGAAGGCAGATGTTTAACCGACTGAGCCACCCAGGTGCCCCAAGCTGCCCAGATTTTAAGTGACAGGCTGGGACTTGAACTTGGGTATTCTCACACTCAGGTCTTCTCAGTCCTACGCTGTGTCTACACAGGTTTTCAGTCACGCCACTGAAGCTGACTCATCCAGAATTCACTTCACCCCTGGGTCACTTTTGTTCTTCCCTTACACAGGCTCATGGGGGGCATTTTGGGGAGTCTCTGTGGTGAGCCCACCCTTTGAAAGGCTTTGTCGGAGGACTTCAGGAACCAAATTCCATCCCAGAAGGTTGGATTGGGCTCAAGCTAGATTTCAGTGTGGTACATGTTCTGGTTCTTTTATGTGAGGAAGCCCGTGTTAGTCAGTCTGTCTGTCTGCCTATTTTATTTCTCTGTCATCTATCTGCCTTACTAAAAGAAGTAAAGCTCCCCTTGGTTAGTTGTCATGGTTTTGAAGAAGTGTTCAAAGAGAAACAGCGGCAAATTAAAAATGTTGGGTTTGAGCAAAAGTGGATTCAAATCAGGCAGCATTGCATCTAGCAGATAGAAAGCACCCACCCCCCGCCCCCCAGGAGTTGTACAGAGTAAGAGGAGGAAGGGGAAGGCAGGAGGAAGGGAGGGAGGAAGAACAAGGAAGCTGTGCAGGGCAGAGAAGTGGGTTGGTCACTGCAAGGTCACTTTCCTTGAGGGGACGGCAGGGGTCTGTCAGGGAGAGGGTCAGGATCACGAGCACTGAGTAGCTGATTGCTGATGGATGGGTTGAAAACTCCGTCTCTGGGGGAACCAAAACTTTTATTAAGTCTCGGTTCGGTTCCTGGGGGCTTAGCCTAAGCGACTCCATTTTGGACCTGTTGTCCTGTTTTCAACAGAAGAGAGGTTACTCTCTGCATGTCCTTGGAAGCATCTTGTCCACCCCTGATTTCATTGCACGAGGCCACCTGTGTGACAGAGGTGTCTGCTGTCCTGAGAAAGCCGGTGGGGAGGCAGGACGGATTCCGTGGGCCACGGAAAGCTGGTGCCTGTACTTAGCGAGGTGGCCACGTGTTGTTTTTTCTGACCCAGCGTCAGCAGCAGAACAGTTCTGTGCAATGGGCTGTTTGCTGTGTGGCTTTTCAGTTTTCCCTCTTCCTGCCTGTTCCAAGCGTTAGACTTCAACGGTGCGGAGAACGTCCTGCTGCAAATTACGATGGACTCGCTTTCACGTTTGAAAAGAAATGGCTCCGAATTGCAGTTCGTTTCGCTCTAAATCTGACAGGTGCTGCAGAGCGTTTAGCTGGGTGACGAGCCTAACTGAGATCAAAGGACCCCCGCCCCTCCCGCAGACAGCTGGCATCTTCCCCACCCTGGCAGCTTGGATGACTGCGGAGGGCCCAGTGACTGCCCGAGTCCCCAAGCGCCAGCTGCGGGTCAGAATGCGTGAGTCCCGTCCTGGAGGGTCGCACCCATGGGTGCGGCTTCTGTCCGGAGAGGTCCGGTTAGTCAGGGTTTCGCTCTCGGAAGGCTTCATGGTTCACCTTTTAATTTTTATGTCAAGTTCAGGAGATGGGCTGAGGTCCATGGTAAGCAGGTGACAGTGGTTCTAGAAGGGTCCACGCCCTGATTTTGGTTGAGTCCCCCGGGGAAGGGGTCTCACGGCTCTGACATCAGGATCGCCTGGAGGCCTCCGGGGTGGGGGGTGCAGCTCATTTCACGACAGAGAGCACTGGAGTGTCCATGAGGCCCCAGCCTGCAGCCTGACTGGCGGGTTCCCCAGGAACATGTGTGCACCGGGAAGAACAGGGTGGGGGGCATTTCAGAGGGCTGGATCCCCAGGGTGTAAGGAAGGAGACTGGGCACCCAGCCCGTCCCCCGGGGCCGGGATGGGGACGCCTGGGACTGCTCACGCTTTCCAGGGCCTGTTACCTGGGGCCAGCAGGGGCGAGGGTGGGGATGGCAGCTCAGAGAATGGCAGGGTCCGGTGGGTCGGGGTAGCAACATCCCCCACGTTCCTGCCTCCTGCCCGCGAGTGTGTGTGACAGAGACAGACAGACGGACACATCCGAGCGGTAACGGCGGATGACCGCATGAATTCCCGGATCCGTGCTGTGATGACGACCTCCTCCGAGGGCGCGCTGAGAAATGGCTCCGAGGTTCATTTTCAGTTGTGCATCTGCTCGCCCTGGCACCTCCTGCTGGGAGCTGACAGCCCACAGCCTCCAGGACCTGTCTGTCCCCAGTCAGCCAGTGTCGCCGCAGGCTCGGCGCTCCCGCCTGGCGTCCCCACCCTCCGCTGGCTGCCCACGCCCGTCCTTACCAGTCGGAAGAACAGCTGAGCTCCGGGTGCGGGGCGGGGGGGGCGGGCGCAGAGAACCGGAACAAACCGGTGTTGCCCTGTGTCTTGCTGTTCCCCGGCGCGCGGGAGAATTACTTCCCGCGGCTGAGGGGCAGCCCCGCCCGGCCGCGCAGGTGGCCTGGTCCCGGAGGTCCGCGCGTGGCACCCGTGGCGGACTGTGCCAGTAAACGTTTGTGACTCTCTTCGCAGGGCACGCCACCGTCACCAGCTACTTGCTGAACTATTTTCCTGGCCTCGATCTTGAGAGGAGGAACGCGTTCGGGTTCACGGCCCTGATGAAAGCCGCCATGCAGGGCCGGACGGAGTGCGTCCGAGCCCTGATGCTAGCAGGTTTGTACCCGCCCACCCTGGGGGGTTCCCAGGGGTCTCAGGAAGTGCTGATCTTGCTTCCTTGGAGCTCGTGGCCTGAGATGAATCAGTTCCGTAGGGACGAAGCCTAGTGGATGCAACAGAGAATAGTGTCTTTGAGGGTGTGGCTGTAACCAGCTGAGGGAAACCACCGGAAAGGAAGGCAAACCCTTGGGGGTGCGGTGGGAGGGAGGTCACAGTACTGGTCACTTTGTAGGAAACCCCTCCTTGCTCCCTGATTGGCTTTTCCCTCAGCCCTAGCTTCCTCCTGCCCTATTTGTTCTTAGAAATGTGTGCTCAGGCTTTGGCTCCCAGTGCAGGCATGTCCTGCTGAGGGTGGGCCCAGGGGTGGCGGGGTGGACCCAGTAGCCATCCTACATCCCCACTTGCTGGTGGTTGGAATCACATGCTGATGTGTGTGACATGTCAGTGACCTGTCACTGAGCGGAAAGTTCTTAGGTGGTAGCTTTGGGTCAGCGGGCACCCCCCCCCTTTCCCTTTGTGACCTGGTCGTCCCGGAGGGAGCACTTCCTTCTCTGAGCCCCCCGCTCTCCATCGTGCAGCGAAAGTCATGACTTCCCTCCCACCCCCCAGGATGAGGTGTGACCCTGCTTTAGATGAGTTGCTGCTACTTATTTTTAGAGGAAACTTTTATTTGAGACGAATTTAAGATGTATGGAAAGTGACAGAAATAGCACAGAGTCCTGCTCAACCCTTATTCGTCACTGTTACCAAACTCCGGGCTTTACTCAGATTTCGCCCGCACATCCATTGCTGTCCCCCTTCCGTGCCGGGATCCCATCCAGGCTCCCACATGGAATTGTCCTGTACCCCCCCGTGTCCTGCGGCCAGGGACAGTGGCCCTGTTTCCCCTCGTCGCTCCTGACCTGACCGTCTCCATACTGGCTCGTATCTGGTGACCCCGGCCTGTCTGGCATTTTCCTGGTGATCACACTGGGGGGCTTGGCTTTCTTTTCTCCCACTTCCATCTAAGTGCTCTAGGAAGTGACGACAGGCTTCAAAGAAGAAAACTTGCACGGAAATAAAAAAGCATAATTAGATTTAATCCCATTGATGGTGCTTTTGACTCTGACAGTTTTCATTTTTTAAAGGCAAGATACTGGTTTTGGCCATGTTGAGGCCTTGCCTGTCCTATAGCAACCAGAGGTGGTTCTTCCTAATTAAACGGTGTTCGTGATGCTTTTGTGTTTGGAGGAAGCTTCATCTGCATTTATTACTTCTGGAGCTATTTATAATTGAGTTATATGATTGTATATGTATATTATATATATTATATTGATTATAACCATGATTGATCAGTTGTTTTTTTTTAACGTTTTTGGTTTTTATTTAAATTCTACTTAGTTAACATGTAGTGTAATATTAGTCCCAGGAGTAGAATGTAGTGATTTAAAACTTAAAACAGCCAGCACTCATCACACCGAGTGCCCTCCTGAATGCCCATCCCCCAACTAGCCCCCCCACCCCACCTCCCTCCAGCAGCCTCAGTGTGTTCTCTGTGGTTAAGAGTCTCTTACAGTTTACCTTCCTCTCAGATATTTTCTTTTCCTAGTAATTTACTTTTTTTTTTTTTAGGTTTTATTTATTTATTTGAGAGAGAGAGAGAGCACAAGTGTGGGGGTGGGGGAAAGAGGAGAGGCAGAGGGAGAAGCAGGCTCCCCGCTGAGCAGAGAGCCCGATGCAGGGCTCAATCCCAGGACCCCAGGATCATGACCTGAGCTGAAGGCAGACACTTCACCGACTGAGCCACCCAGGCGCCCTGAAATTTACTTTTTTAACCAAGAATTTATGGTGTCAATCATGTCACTGCATTTTTCCTGATGAGTTCATGTGAACTTTGGACAAACCCTTTTGTTTTTAGGTCAGTTGCCTTCCCATGACTGTGGAAACTGCTTGGGTTTTGCTGTCACTCTGCTGTTTTCCTGGGTCTGGTGGAGGTCCGGGGATCTGCTGAGCACTGACAGGGCTGAAGAAGCACACTTGGGGTCTTGAAGCTGGGCCCGTGTCAGGACAGTGCACCCAGTGCCAGCCTTGTTTTCCTCCCCCTCAGTTATGGATAATGAATTTGACCTTGGGTTTTATGTACTACTCTCCCTTTCCTGTTCCCTCCTCCCGAGCCCTGCCCTGCCACATCCAAATCTAGAACAATCCACAGGCATGCAGACCCTGGTGCAGCCATCCTTGAACTGTTCATTGTCAGAGCAGAATGGTCAGGAAAACTAACTTGGAAGCCAGGACTGCCGGTGTCACAGTCCAGCCCCTTTCATCTATCCCCTCTGTACTGGAGCCAGTCACCTAATGCAAGGGACCCCAGTTTCCCCTTCTGTGAAGTGCGGCAGGTGCCGGTGGCTGCTGCGGGAGGGCTTGATGGGGACGGAAGACCCCCCCTTCACAGCACTGGGGTGCACGCAGGCCCTCGGTCTGCGCCGGTTGTCATTATTGTTTCCGGGGGATTTGTGCACTCAGTAATTATTTGTTACATGACTGAAAAACAGTGGTATGGTTTTTCCCCTTGGCAGGCAGCCTCGGGATAAAACACTTAAACTTTCCTGCTGAGGGCGATACGCTATTGCTCGGGGTTTCTGAACGTCGGCACTGTTGACATCTGTCTGGTGCTGGGGACTTCTTGGTGGTGGGGGGCTGACCTGGGAATTGCAGGATGCTCGGCAGCCCTGGTCGTGACAACCAAACATGTCTCCACATGATACCAAGTGCTCCCTGGCGTGGGGGTGGGGTGGGGGCGAAGTCCCCTCCCGTTGAGAACCACTGATGTGACTAATTGGGAAAGGATAGAAAACATAAAAAGAGCATCTTTTCCCTCTTACGAGTGTTTCCTCCTTCCAGTTTTGTCTATATTCCTCTTAAAGGAAAAATCTTCTTGGGGAGTTTTTGAGTGGCCCTCTAAGATTGTGGTTTTTTAACTTCTAGAGATATAAATTTTCTGCTCTTACTAAGGTGGCCAATGCTTCCTTTCCCCAGGAAAACACAGGACATTTTTCTTTTACAGTAGATGTGCATGTTTGTTTTATTTTTTATTTTTTTAAAGATTTATTTATTTATTTGACAGAGAGAGATCACAAGTAGGCAGAGAGGCAGACAGAAAGAGAGAGAGAGAGAGGAGGAAGCAGGCTCCCTGCTGAGCAGAAAACCCGATGCAGGCCTTGATCCCAGGACCCCGGGACCATGACCCAAGCCGAAGGCAGAGGCTTTAACCCACTGAGCCACCCAGGTGCCCCTGCATGTATGTTTTAAAAGAAAAAACCAAAACCTGTGTGATCGAAGTCCCTCCTGGCTTGGGTGGACAGACAGCATGAAGGATCCTTGTTGGGATATTTAAAAAATTGAGCTGATCACAGAAGGGCACCCTGTGGTCATTCCAGAAGCAGAAGGCACAAGCAGGGTTGTGTGTGAGTGGTCAGGGTAGAGGGGTGTAGCCCATCCTCATGTTTTCAAGTGCAAGCGTCGCTCTGTACTTAGGAGTATTTCTGTCCCTGAGTCGGATTTCCAAGTTGCAACTTCATTACGTTCAGTAAGACCCGTTTCCGTTGAGAAATGATGGATGATTGAATTGGGCGCCCCCTCAACTGTTTAGATTTTCCAGTCGTTCCTAATATCCAGACACATATCATCATCTTATCTTACCTTGTCAGGCAGAACGAAATAACATGAGAATGATCAAAACGTTAGATTTTCCTGAAAACGTAACCAGGTTCTGAAAAGCTGATTTATGGGCTCTTTGGTTTTTGGTTTCCCGAGGAATAATGTCAGCCCTGCTGATAAGCATCGCAAGTGGGGCTGCAGGTTCTTGTTAATTCCGTGGAATACTAATGCCCCCGAGTGACAGGTCTATTTAAATAAGTGGCTCTGAGAAGGCGTAACGAGGCCATGATTTTCTCTGAAGGGAAGCAGAGCTCCGTGGAGGTTGGCTGGCGCCAGACTGGCTTAAGGGAACTGGCTTTTATCCTGAAGTATGTGACTGCCGCGGCGTTTGGGAAGCAGACACAGGCAGACAAGATGCTCGCCTCTGCCCGCGACTCCGGGCAAGAAGGCAGCCCTCCGGGAGGTGTCGGGGCCTGTTTAACGAGGAAGACGCAGTCCTGTTGTTGGCCCCACGGTCGTTCCAGTCCCGACTGTGTGCTTCTGGAAAGTCAGGTGATTGGATATCACTGCAGAGGTTTCTTTCTGTTGCTCAGGAAAACATGGACTTCCTGTGACCTGAGAATTTGCCGAGTTGGGATAGTCTCCAGTGATCATGCAGTGAAAAGGCTAAGAGTCAGGCGTTCCGTAACCCTGAGGCCGGTGTCTTCGCTTGGGCATTTCGCTGGCCTGAAAGCAAACCTTGCCACGAGGACATGGGGGCAGGTAGTTTTTCTGGAAGGTGAGCCAGGAAGCCGCGTGAAGGAGAGGGAAGGGGGTCCCTCGGGCAGTCGGGGGTTGGCCCTGCTGACACCCTCCACAAGACCAAGTACAGGGTATCTTGGAAATGCCTTTGAGGGTGGGGCAGGCTGGAAGCAGATGTTCTGTCCTTCCCGCCCTCCAGATCGGGTCTCTTTCCTGAGACCCTGAATCCTGCTTCATTTCCTCAATTATACCCCAAGTCCCCAAGACACAGGCCGGGCTGGCACAGGAGGAGACCCGCAGGGACTGGTCCACGGGGTGACCAGAAAGGCCTCTTGGTGGAAGGGGGGCCAGAGCTGGGCTTCGAAGGGTAGAGAACATGGGAGCTGGCAGAGAAACAGGAAAGGAAGGGACACGGCTCTGCCTGCCTACTGCTGGTCCCACAACCCAGCCGTGACTCTCAGGGGACGCCTCTGAGCGGGAAAGATGGAAAGTAGCTTGTTTTTCTTTAGCACCTTTGGAAAGCTTTCTGCTTCCCATCACAGACGTCCTGACTTGACAGTAGCTGAAAGAAAACAAACATGTTTTTCTCACCTCACCAGAAGCCTTGCGGTGGGCAGTCACGGAGCTGCCCTGAACTCCGTGAGGACATCACAGAGCTAGGTTCCTTTTTCTGTCCACCCAGCTCCCCCCTCCATGCCCCACCCCGCGGCTTGGTCACCAGAAGTCCAGGCTTCAGACAGGAAGCAGCACCACCAACCGCACGGTCGCTTTTATCAGCGTTCAAAATCCTTCTCTTTGGGGCTCACTGACCAGCTGTAAGGGAGGTGAAGGAAAAGGGGAAAGGGATTGCGGTTACGGGGTTAGACCGGTAATTCTCAGCTGGGGGTGTGTGTTGCCCCCCCCCACCACCCCCCACGAACATTTGGTAATCTCTAGGGACATTTTGGCCTGTCACAACTGTGGAATCCCACTGGCATCTACTGGGTAGGGACAGGGGCTGCCGTCAGAAGTCTTACCAAGGCACAGGAGAGCCCCCACACCACAGATCCGTCCCCAAACGTCAGTAGTCCCGAGGTGGGAAAACCCCAGGTTATAGCAGTCACAGTGTGTTGCCTAGAGCTGAGTATGTTGCGGCCTTGAGGACAACAGAGGACTGTGTGGACAGCTCACGGCATTCCACGTGGCGGCAGATGGATCCCTGGGCAGGAGCCCAAGTTTTGTTCTGTGTGGCCGGAGCTCTGGGCAGAATAGCCTTGGGTCGGGGGTGAGGAGGCCCACAGTCCACAGACAGGAGATGCATACGCTGGCCTGTCACAGACCTCTGTGTTCTCCAGAAGGTTTCTGTACTGCGTGTCGATCACGGGTGCTGGTCTGCCCTGATTTAATCATGGCGTCCAGTCCAGGCCGTTAACGTGGCCCTCGCTGATTGCGAAGGGAACTGGGTCCCCAGATTACGGCATGACCCACGTACTGGGCCGCACCCCCGTCAGCCTGGCCTTGTTCTTCAGAATGTGTGTAGTTTCCAGGATCATCTTGAAAAGGCCCGAGGAGGAAACAGGACGAGTGCTACACTTTGGACAGCTGTTCCTTTAGTTTTCCATTAGCTTTTGAGAAATGGCTCTCTGCAGCCGTGTTCATTAAGATTTTAATTTTGCAGTTTGTACCTTTTTAAGTGACATGCAATTAATTAAGGTTTAATGTGTCATCTATTTTTTGCGGTGACATTTTTACTGCCCCCTTTTCATTTTTGTCAGCTTATAAATTGTACTCTGGCTAATGAGTTCCATCCCGATTTCCAGTTCCAAATAATTACCACTCTTTTAATATGCCTATTTTTTAAATGTGCCCCAGAGTGAAGAGCATTATGAGGCAATCTCAGGTGGGCTGGGCCTGCCTGGGCCGGGTGATGGTGGGGGGCACTGCAGGCGTGCAGGGGCAGGGAGGCTGGTGAGTCCTCCTCACCTCTGTTGAGCACACACTGAGCCGATGCCGTGTGTCAGACACCTGGATCTGCGTGGGATATAAATGCTGAAGCTTCTGCCAGTCCTGGTCCCTGGGGAGCTCACAGACTAGATAATTGCCCTACTTCTCCACATTGCTTTGCCAGGGAAAGTATGACTAATGGGACCTGAAATCCTGAATGATTTTTAACTGTGTATGGGGCTGAGATTGGACCAAGATTAATTGAACAGCAATTCCTTATTAATTTCTCTTATAGTACCACACTGAAATTTATGAACATTTCATCAAGTTGAGTTGAAGTTTAAATTTGCGGTATTAGGAGGGGGCGGTGCATGGTGTGAGGGAGATTTATTAAGGAAGTGACTAGTGTAAGGGAGACTGAGGGTCTAGGAAGCAGGGTTCTCTAGAGACACAGAAACAATAAGAAATATACATTTAAGAGATTTATTTTAAAGAATTGGCTCACGTGATTTTGGCTGTTGGAGAGCCCAAAAGTAGTGGGAGCAGGCCATTAGGCTGGAAATTTGGACAGGAGTTAATGCTGCAATCTTGAGGCTGAATTCTTTTTTCTCCCCAAATCTTTAACTTTTGGTATGAAGGCCTTCAACTGATTGGATGAGGCCCACCCACATTATTGAAGGTAATTTCCCTGACTCAGTCAACTGATTGTGGATGCTAACTACACCTAGATGGGTGTTTAAATCCCTGGGTACTATAGTCTGGCCACGTTGACACAGACAGCTAACTGTCTGAGAGGAAGCTGTCTTCCCTGCAGGATGGCGGGAAGTGTGCAGGGCTGAGAACTTCCATTACCAGCTTTGAAGCCTCAGGTAGGTCCCTTGGGCCATGTGACTACCATCCCTCAGTGCACGCCTTCTACCAGCCAGGATGAGATGTGTCAAGGAAACAAAAACGAGGAAGATGTGTGCTCTGCCCTGCAGCAGCCCACGGTCTGGTAAAGAGGATAGACTCGGGACTTACTAACCACTGAGTACAGGAAGTGAAGGGACCACACATTTCTTGCAAAATAGGGACCCTCACATTCCTCCCATGAGATCTATGAGGAAAACGTGAGATGATAAGTAAAGGGGACACCAAATGCTTTGCAAGTGATCATTCCCTTCAGTATTCTAGAACATTCTGGTAACGTCAGTGACGTCTTCATGAGGTACCTCTGCTGTCCAGTCATCTCTCCATTGCTGGAAAGCCATGAAATCTTGTTTCTTTAAAAATTCCAGGATGTAGGGACTGTGTTCAGGCGGTTTTGTTTAGGAAAGGTAAGCCCTTCAACAGAGCACTTCAGTGGGTTGTGTAGTAATGATAGTGCAGGCAAGTAGCTCCCGGCCAGGCGCACGTTCATCCATGGGGCACAGCCTCAGGTCATCTGTCACTAGGTTTCGGAAGTTTTACCTTTGATCCATTTCCCTCTTCCGTTTCCTGCCATTGGCCAGGAAAGTTCTTGTCACCTTCGCCCATGACTCTGTGTGTTTGCATTTTTTTCAGGGGCAGACGTCCATGCCAGGGACCCCCGCCGTGGGATGTCGTCCCAGGAGTGGGCCGCTTACACGGGCCGGTTGGAGGCCGTCCGCCTCATCCAGAGGCTGCTGGAGCGACCCTGCCCGGAGCAGTTTGGGGAAAAGTACAGACCGGAGCTGCCACTGCCCCCGGAGGCCACTCTGAAGCCCACGGGCTCCAAAAACTGCTTTCAGAGGCTCACAGAGCTTGTGAGGTCCGTTCTGACCTCCCGCTCACGCCAGGGCCTGGAGGATGGGGGCGTCCTGGACCACATGGTCAGGATGACCACGAGCCTGTACAGCCCCGCCGTGGCCATCGTCTGCCAGACTGTGTGCCCCGAGAGCCCCCCCTGTGTGGGGAAAAGGCGGCTGGCGGTGCGGGAGATCCTCGAGGCTCGCGGGAGCCGGGCCGCGCACGCCCGGGAGAGTGACAAGATAGAGGGCTCTGAGCAGCCGTTCCGGACCTCGCAGGCTGCGGGGGTCTGCAGAGAGGCGGCCCCGCAGGCCAGCCTCGCGGCCGCGCAGCTGCCAGGTGCCCCGCGGAGGGCCAGCCTCCTGCCCCTGCAGCTGCTGAGAAGGAGCAGCGTGCGGCCCGGCCTGGTCATCCCCCGCGTGCGCATCAGCAAGGCGCCCGCGCCCACCTTCCAGCCCGAGCGCGCCTCCGCCAAGGGCAGCACCAAGGACAGCGCCCACCTGCAGCTCCCCAAGTGGCGCTACAAGGAGGCCAAGGAGGAAAAGCGGAAGGCGGAGGAGGCGGAGAAGCAGCGGGCGGCGGCGGCGCAGAAGGAGAAGCGGGCGCCCTCCTGGAGGAAAAGGACGTGAGGGCTGAAGCCTGTGAGGTGGGGGAGGAGGCAGTGGGGCTCCGTGCTCGGAGAAGGATGCGGACATGCCGCCCTCCTGCCCTCACCCCTCCCGAAGCGCGGCTCCTCCCTGCATGTCCCCAGCCGGGGGCCCAAACGCGCTCTGCGTTTGTTCAGGCTGCACCGTTGAGTGATCCGGGCAGGGCACCAGTCGATTAGCCTAAAACCAGTTCCCCTAGAGATGAGTACACCCGGCCGGCAACTCTGCCCCAGAGCCTACCTTTTGAACCTCACTTGAGAAATTTAGAAGAATTTTGTATTTTTAATTATGATCAAGTTTGCAGCATTTTACTGCTGATGGGCTGTTTATATTTAAGACGGTTTTAATACATTTGCCCGAAGACCCTTTGTTTAGCATATTGTTTCTGGCAATAATTATTTGTGATATCTCTGTGATTTCATACGGAATTCGTGGAAGTCTCCCCATTCTTCTGTTTGTGTTTCCTTCTCATTGTGGGCATGCATGAGCATTATATGTTCTCACTGATTTGATGAAGTGATTCTGAACATTTGTTTCTATCCGAGGGAGGCCTTTCCTTTTCCAGCAAAATGATGACATGAGACAGGAGAATCAGACATCCTGGTATCTTATTTTATAGCTCTCTTACTTAGACGGTAATAATAACAAAGAAAAACCTGTTGTCAAAATATGAAACCAAGCACAGAGAAGCATGTACTTACTGCTAGAACTAAGTATCTTAAGCAAGGGACTTTAGATAAACTGGATGCAAAGCTTTTAACATACTCAGAAATAGATACGAGAAAAATCTGTTATTTAATATAGCGGGGACAAATGTAACCGATTTTTACCAGAAGTACAAAATTAAGTCCTCTGTGCTTTCAGATAAATTGAATTCAGATACCCTTAAAATATAAAAAAAAAGATGCAAAAGAATAAGGCCCCAGAGTGATACAATCTGCTGGAAAGGGGGAGGGGCCAGAGGAACAGGAATATTAAGCAAACTTGTTTTAGGCAAATTCTCCTGGAGTGGGCTGGATGGCTCCCTCCTCCAGCCTCAATTCCAAAGAGTCCCTGGTGTGGAATTACTGTTATTTTTCCTTTGATGACTGTCTGTGATGTTCAGTTTCTCCTCATGCGGACTTTGTAGAATTTCCAAGATGCGGGGACCTGGGCAGAGCACATATGGAATTTGCCCTGGGCCCTGAGCTCTCCGTGTGAGTTTCTGTCCGTACTCCAAAGCACTGAGAAATTCTAATGCATCTCCGGCCGTCTGGGTTATAGAGTATCGGTCACATATGCACTACTGACAGCACTTTATTTAAAGATTATCCTACTCGGGAGCCATAGATTGCAAAGCGTAGAGACCGACTGGGAAGCTGTTTCTTACAAGCCTGGATTCGTGTGTCCGATCGTGCTCCCAGGCTGGGCTGGGACTCGAGCACCCATCTCATGATGTGGGCAGGGATGGCGCTAGCCTCTCCCTAGTCCCCTCCATTTGGTACCGAGAGACATTGAGCTTATCTGGGGTCTCACACTTACCTCTCAAGATACCTCAATTAGCGGGCTGTTGGGCAGCCCCAGCCTGATGGTCAGGGGTGATGATAATGCAGCTCTCAAGGTCCGATTTAAGCAAGCTCCTCCCTCTTTCCAGAACGGCATAGAGGTCTGGCCCTGCTTTTAGCATCACTGATACTGGGCGGCTGCACGTCATCCTAGTGACCAAGAGTTGGGATTGGCCAAGTCCCCTTGGATGAGATGAGGGCTGGTCCCCAAGGGGAAGAGAAACGCGCCTAGTCTCCCCAACAGTCTGGTCCCGCATCCGTTGACATCACTGTCTGGTTCATGTATTTTCACTGCTTTGAACGGCTGGCCGCGTTTTCTCACTGAGGGGGTCACCTTTTGCTGTCTCGCTTCCTGCGGTGGTGGGGGCAGGGGCAGTGATGGGCGGTCACCTCCTTCTGCTTTCCGCATGTCCGCTCAGCTCTGTCGCCGCGCTGGTTCCCCGCCTTCCCCCTTGCCTGCTCCTTTCCTTGCTTGCCTCTTCTGCCTGTTGTCTTCCGCAGCTTTGGCCAACAGCTCTGACCTTCCCTGGCCCCACCACTCTGAGGTCTAAGAAAGGGCAGAAAAGCAAGGCCATCACGAGAAGCAGTGCCGTGTCCCTGTTGAATTGCGGAAAGATCTCCACCGACCCGGTGAGCGAGGGACAGATTTCACCAGCTTCTGTGTGGATGGTCTTAGAATTTTGGCACGGCTCTCACCCACGCATTCCCCCCCCCCCCCACCTTAAGATAGGTTTATTTATTTATTTATTTATTTTGAGAGAGAGAGAGAAGAGGAGGGACAGGGGGAGAGACTCTCTCAAGCGGACTCCCTGCTGAGCGAGGAACCCAATGGTGGGGCTCCATCCCACAACCCATGAGATCACCACCCGAGCCGAAACCAAGAATCAGATGCTCAACCGACTGAGCCAGCCCCCTGCCCCCCGCCCCCCACCACCCTTGTGCCCATTTAAGGGAGGGAGACCTAGTTTGCTTTCCTGACAGATGAAGCCCTGCTCCACCGTCCCGCAGTTGGGGGGACCCGGGATCTGCTTGCCCCCCCCTGGTGTTTATTACCTGTAAATAGTGAATTTCAAGTTGACAGGTACCTTCTCAGGGATTTATATATACATGTAGTTAGAGGAAAAGATGAAGTATATTTTAATACTTTCGAGTGAATTAGGATTACACTAGATGGAAGAAATAGTTCCAAGACGACGTCAATGCTGCTGTTTTCCAGGGAGATGTCCGCCATCTCCCTCAGTTGGGATTTTCTTGTTCCTGGAGACCCGGGACTTTGGCAGCTGGAACAGCTCTGGAGCGGACGGGCGGTCACCTCAGCCCTTCTCAGTTACCTCTTGTGGGTGCGAGCCCTTGTATTTAAAACAGATTCTGCCGGTATGTTCAGTGGTGGTGGCTGCGTTAACACAGATGGCCGGCCTCCGATTTTACCTCTAGAACTGGCCCCTCCCCCTCTGCCACCAGGGTGGGCGGGGTGACAGTGACAGTTTCTTGTTCTGACTTATGGGACTCCAGTGCTCCGGGGTCAGCCCGACCACCGGGCTCCCCGCTGGGCAGGAGGAGGGAAGAGCTGGGAGAGCTTCGTCTGGGATGACCTCAGTGTTCAGAGCATAAACTTGCCATGTCTTTGGCTGCCCTGGAGAAACGGCCCAGAACATCATGGACCTTCCTTCCTGTCTCGGAAGCCCCTCCCGGCATGCTCTGCGCCACACTGCACACCTCAGCGACGTGATGAGCGGGAGTCACAGCCCCTCGTCTCGGCTTCGGGCCCTCCCGGGACACCAGGCTCACTTTGGGGAGAGGGACGGAGAGATGGGTGCTGCAGCTGGAGCATGGGGCACGCGGGTGCGGACCGCCTCCGCCCGCTTGCTCTCATGCTGGTAGGGGGTGAGCAGGTCTCTGGCGGTCCAGCGTCTACATGGGGGCCGGGCGGCTGTGCGTGAAGCAGAATCCCATGAGGTGGGGCCAGCCCCCAGTCCCGAAACGGATGCATCCTTAGGGAGGAATCCACGGTAGCAAGTCGTGAGGAAAGGGTCCTCCACCACCAAGAATTCAGTAAAGGAGCCAAGACTAAGAAGTGGACCTGGTTTATCTCTTGCAGCCTCTGGTAAGAGTCCTGCCAGCCCCATCTCGTCCCCACGACAAAGTCGGAGAGCAGACCGTCGTCTCCTTTCTCAGTTTGTGCTGCGCCGCGAGTCCAGGCCTGATGCAAGTCTGCTGTCCTCTCTCCCCGAGTGCACCTGCAGAGCCCTGCTCACCCCTTTCCTGGTCTCGTGCCACACACGGGCCCCCCAGGCTCTGGACATCCTTCACGAACCATGTAAAGCTGCTGGTCACAAGCTTTTAAGTGATGACATTGCTCTCGGTACCCCAGTATTTGCTCGGGGCCCTTTACGGCCTGTGTGGGGAACTGGAGGCTCTACTGGCTGTGGACTTTCCGCAGACCGAGGCCCCTGGCCGCGGGGTCCTTGGTTCCCGGACCACCTTGCTGTAGAGGAGGGAAGACCGAGGGTCTGTCGCAGCAATGGGAACTGGGTGGATAATCCCAGTGGGAGGCTATTACCGGCAGAGAAGGTAGAACAGTTTTTCCTAAATGGCTGATGGCTGCGTTCCCCGTTTCACACCTCCGTGCGTTTAAACTTGTCTGGGTGACTCTGGAGCCAGCTGTTCATTTCTGGGACCTTGAATTCACAGGTTTCTTCATTAACATTTAAAAGAAGAGGCTAAAAAAAAATTCTTCAGGAGATTGTTTTTGGGGGGGGCGGGGGGGGGAAAGAATTAAAAAAAAAAAAAAAAGCAAAAACACAAACCCACCACTACCTGAACTGATTCAGCTAATTTCCGAGTGACTCCGTTGAATGCCCGTGCTGTGCACACGATCTTCTCACTGTGAGCCAGTCTGATACAGGACTTCTGTGACAGGCGCGACCCCTGCAGGGCTCCGATGGCCCTCGGTCGCCAGCCGTGCCAGAGTGGACAGTGCGTGCTAAGGTGTGAGCATGCCCACATGCGCGGGCGTGCACACAGGTGAACCGGAGGGAGACCAGGCATTGTGCTTGCCAAGGTGACCTCTGCTGTGGCTCCCAGGGAGCATCAGAGGTGACTTGCTTCAATGGACAGCCTGAGACTCACTGGAAGCCCTTCATCCAATGGGACACACAACACAGCCAGCGTGTCACATCCTAGATCTCACTGCGAGGTAGTGTTGGCCCAGACGCCTCCTGCAGGAGCTCCTCGGCCATGTCCAGTAGCCCATCTGGGACATCTCTTTGCCTTTGACGTTCACCCTTTGCACTGAGAGGCGGAAACCGGAAGCCAGGACAACTCTGCTTGTCCCCAAGCTCCACCAGCCATTCTGCAGTAGCCATGGGGTGGGGACTGAGTTTCTTGAAATTTGGTGCCAGGTTAGCTGTAGAATCATCAACATCTTTCCCTGAGGAGGCACTAGGATTTTCCCAAGTCTGCCCAAGTATTAGGTAGTCTAAGGAAAGCAGACACAGTTGGAGTTTTGTGAGAAATTGATTCATCCTCCTGTTACACCTTTGTCTCGTTTTAGAAGGAAATGTAGGCGAGAAACAAAAATGAAGCTGGTTATTCCAGGGAGAGCAGTGACCTGTGTTGACCTGATGGTAACGTTTTGAGAGATTGCATTGAAGTACTGTAATGCCAGTTTTTGAGCAGACGTTCTAGAAACTGGTTTGGAACTGTACAACTTTGGAAAACTGGATGCTAACTATAGAAGGACCCCATAAACCTTGGGAGCCTTGGGGACCTCCTGAGGAATGAGAATGGAATCCTCTGGTCAGATGAACAAAAACAGCGCTCCTTGGAATTCCCTTCGTTCAAATCATTGTCCCGCCTGGTGTTTGCTA